CCGAATAGTTGAAAACTTGAAACAAAAACGAAAAAGTGCTCCATTGTTTCTAATCAGTTCTGAAAATACGAAGCTCCAGCGACTTTTAGTTTTTATTTCACAGCATTTCTACGAAATGCCCAAAAAGCACTTGGCGTTCACCGGTTTTTCAGAAAACTCGCTTTTTCATTGTGCCACATTACGACCCCCCTTAAATTTCCTCCGATCGAGTTCAAAATTTTACCAGAGCTCCTCAAGGTCAATCCGCAGAGGTAATTTTGAGAAATCTTTTTGAGACTTTTCCTGGTCAAGTTATAGGGAAAATACTGAAAAACGTCTCAAAAACCAAGTTTTTCAATTTTACAAACCCTATAAGCCGGTAAAGGAAAGTCTAAAATAAAATTCAAAAATTACTCCTGCAATAGTGTCTTGAGTACCTCTGGTAAAATTTTGAACTCGATCGGATGAAATTTAAGGGGGGGTCGTTATGTGGCACAATGAAACCTGGTAGCAAAAAAACAGTTTTCGAGAAATTTTGTACATAGGTCACTTTTCTCAGAACATTTGCCGCGATGTTTATATCCCCGCGAAAACTCATCGGAAAATTCTGTAAAACATCTCATTGTCAAGAAAACACTTTCTTCTATCAGGCTATATGTAGGAAAAATTTTGCACGTACAGAAAATGAGAGAAAAGTTTATGAAACTGAAAAATTGAGTTTTTTTACGTTTTGAAGGAAAAACTTCAAAAATCCATAACTTTTTTAAAAAAGTTCGTGGAGTACTGGGAGTGGTCTTATTTTGTAGCGCACACTTTCCTCTACATTAGTCTATGCTCAGCTCAAAATCAGAAATTTTTACCAAAAAGCGGAGGTACCCTTAAAGATATTTTGTTCACGTTGAAAAAGGTAGTAGTAGGCACAGAGCAACCTGGCGATGAATTTGACACACTTTTTTGGGTGTTCGCGTCTTTTAGTAATATCGCATTTCATATGCATTGTGCACGGAAGAATTTCATAAAGATACTACTTACTCAGCTAAGATCTTGACAATTGTCTCATATGTTTTCCTAGATCCGATTGTATGTCCTCCACCATGGAAAAAAATAACGAGTTTGTCTCGTTTGATAATTGATGGTGTATAAATCGTCACTGGAATATCTGCAATTGTTAACATATCATAAATCTTAATTATGAACGAACAGAAGATGAGAGGGTGGCATATCTGCTGTTACTGGAGCTTGTATTATACAAACCAAAATTTATACAAGTTGTATAAATTTTGGTTTCTGTTTTAGATAACAAATAACTCTCTCTAATTTCCTTTGTTGATATAAGCTTAGAATAAGCCAAAATTATGTGTACCTTCTCTCTCCAATTCACAATGCATAGGTATTGTGTAAACTAATATTAACATTAAACGAAGAATATTCCGAACTGGGTTGATTCAGCTTTCTACACTATAACATTCTATCAAACGCAGAGTTTAACCTGGAAAGTCTTATGCTTACACTATACGGGTAAAGTGCACGACAAAAGAGTGAAAGAATTTGTAAATAGAAAACATTTGGTGTCTCGAAATCTCGGTGTTCCCCAACTAACGTTTTGACCTCACTTCCATGAACTACGGTAAGTGGAACACAAAGCCATAAATGTTGCGGGGCCATAAATGCGTGCGGGGGAGGAACGTACCGCCCTTCCTAGAAAAAGAAAATCAGTCCTTTCCTCCCAGCGGAAATTAAAATATTTTTTGCTATTTTTGCTCATCCAGCGAAATAATCTTTTCTTACAGCCCCTCAAGGTTGACTTCCTGCTTACAGCCCTGCTGGAACATGAGAGTCCATGTCCCATCTACATTGAACGTGCCATGTAATCTACAAGATTTTAATTACTTTCACCGCCATTTGATGATAAGGGAATAAATATCTCTTCTTCAGTGCCTTTCAACGTATGGGAAAGGTTTTCATTAATTTTTTTGGCAATTAATTCTGTTCGTTCTCTAACTGCTTCGACGGTAAAAGATAGCATAGGTGGAAGTTTAGATGATAAAAATTGATTATAAGCCAATGCTTCGTCGTTCATTAACGGGTCCCTAATAAGAGAACCATTTTTCATAAATCAAGTTGTGTATAATTGTCAAAAACGCACATTAACTTCTCTGTTTTAGTAGGGCATACGTTGAATTAATGTAACCATACTTATTCAAAATACTAAAGAACAAGAAACGATTTTTTATCAGATACATTACATGGTTGAATAAGTTGTGCTGTTTTCTTTTTCTTTTATGACCAAAATGTTGCCTTCGTCTTTATTGTATATGCATAAAGCAGATTCAATGAAACGACAGATTTGTAGTATTCCCGTAGCAATTGTGGCCAGGCACGTAGACGTGTGCCATAAAAGTGATAAAAGCCTCTAAACACTATTTTTATAGGTTTTCGTATCCGCTCTTTCCAATGGGGTGATTTACAAGGTTCAAAAGCATT